TGAAATGTTTTATTTTTGGACATAAATAATAGTACCTTCTGAAAACGGACCCTCTTATGACGTAGAAACCTCATCTCGCCATAGTTTAAAGAAAATACCAAACGCCCGACGGAGACTGAGGCAACTGATATATTAATTCTTTCAACTGTCATCTCGCGGTAATTCACTCTGTCAGAAATCATGTATCATTCATCTCTGTCTGGAATAGTCTTGTTTCAGTATTAGGGTTTTGACGTCACATCATCACCTCGTTTTCAGAGGTCCGAAAAATCGGGGATTTCAATAATTTTTTATAAAACGTAGAGAGCTCACAGCAAGAAACGGTTTGGGTGAGTTCTATCGAATTATGAAATAAATTTTTTTTGTGATATAAGCCCATTAGCGAAACTACAATTATTATAATACGAAACTCCATGGCCAGTCTCATTGGTAGATGTGACAGAATTTATTTTCGTGAAGTTTGTACCAGGGCAGAGAGCAATATCTGCCGAAGTTTTCGACAAAATTTGATCTGCAATGTTCTGTCTCCTTTGTAGCGAGTCTTCTATATAACCCTCTGCTACTGTACTGGACTTCCATCCACCATGTCTTTTAATTGTATTAAGACTAGCACCAGAGTCCGCCAACAAACTAGCTGAGGAACGTCGGAAACAATGTCCAGTATATAGATGGAAATCAGGCAAATTAAGAAATTCGGCAAATTTGGCAGGCATCTTACCAAATGTGTTGATTCCAACTGGAGTCCTGGCACATTTATGCAATGCATTTTATAAAAACTCTAGAATGATTAATATCCACTAGACGAAGGGCTATGTACTTTTTGTAGTAGTTCATATACAATGTACCACTTACAACAAAGGTGCGTTGCACTTTAGTTTATGGGTCTGGTATATGCACAACTAGTGAAGTTCCGGAATCCTCGATATTATTTAATGTAAAATCGCACAGTTCTTCTCGACGAGAGGCTCCAAAAACACCAAAAATCGCAGCAACTTTCTGCATTAGATATATTTCATCTGGGGCTTCTGCGAGAAATTTGTCGATTTGTTCTCTTGTCAATACTTTTGACTTTTTCGGTCAATATCCTTTACCCTTTCGCTTCAAAAAAGCCACAAACTTGTGATATCTGCTTATGTCATGATCATTTATGTTCATCATCGACTTTAACATAGAGTAATTCGACCAAAGCGTTGACGATTTCCATATTTTGGACTTTTCCTCAAAGTATGCAAGAAGCACTTTTTCACTGGCCTCCTTTCCAGTGACATTTTTCTGATCACACCATTTCAAGAAACGTTCGTATGAAAACTCGTACTGTCGCTTTGACTTACTAGGCAATGATTCAAAAACAGCTTTATTGGCAACTTCTTCAATTTGCGGCGGAAAAATATCATTTTCTTGGGCACTTTTCATGAGGAACGAAGAAACTAAAAGAAATAATTCGTGATTTATTGATGTTAGTTGTCAAGAAAGATAAATCATCAAATTCAGTTTTTGTTTACCTTGGTAATTCGTTTAATGAATATATTAGATTGAATTGGATTCAAAACTGATAATCTCGAGGCTGTTATGAATCAATTAATAAGTAATGTAAAATAGTAATGCGTTAATTTGGACTTTTAATGGTGTTTGTAGAAAAAATAGTGTATAATATATGTGCTAACAGTGTTTTTTCTTCTGTTCGAAGGGATGGAACACTCCGCCTTCGGCGTCGTGTCCCAAACTTCCCTCCTCACCAAATAAAATGTCACTTTTAGAACTCATATCATAAATAACTATTTTAATCCCGTGGGATTAAACTGACAACTTTATTTCCTTGAATGAGGGAGCGATAAAGCCTTCCGCTGGTTCAATAGACAGAACATTTTATGATCTTCAGTATAAGTATTCGAGAAAGAGCGAAATGCTCTTCTCCAGCGACCTTGATTCAAAAGTAAATGTGTTGTAACCTCCTTTACGTTTGGTTTCAGTAATGAGAGAGACATAAAACGTACCAATTCCACCTCATGTCGTCACATCATATTAATTGTAGTAGGCGTCGGCGAAAAGAAAACTGTACAGAGTGGAACGAATGTGATGGTGTTTGTTTTCTTTCGTTCTGAAACATGAGATTTTGAATGAGGAGGAAGATTGAGGTGATGGTATCATGATACTCATGTTCATAAAACCTGATAATTTGATTTTTTGAATTGACTCGGCCATGACAAATGTAAAAACTTCACAAACGATAAGATTTCCACAAAATTCTCAAACACACGACATTTTTCGCTAACACAGTATCTTTGTCAGGTGATATACTGGTACAATGAACTAAACTAACGTTGGCTTGTTTAACTTTTATATATCTTACTTTCCCAACCTGAAGGATTAGTTACCTGTGGACAGGTACGATAAACCTCCATTTGACAATAAGTAAAATTAACGATAAACATGATTTTTCAATTTTCCATAAACCTTCCCACACTGATATCACTATTCATAATAATTCAACACACCGTTATCAACATATTGAATTACAGCATATAGTATGATACACAGGCTATAGAGAATGTCCCTCTTTCGGAAGTATACATTTCAATAAAGAACTCAATATCATAAAACAGATTGCAGTCAACACAGTTAATTTGATAGACAGTATTCTTTCTAAAAAATTTCATCAAAAAGCAATTCAAGAAGTTCATCCTACCATAAAGAATAATAATCAAAATTATAGAACTCTAGCCTATTTCGGATCATCAACTGAGGAATTAGCTTCATTTCTACATGAAGAGGACTTAAAGTGGCATATAGAACAAATTACACGTTGGGACGGTATATCAAGAATAATAAAGACAAAACTTCTAAATTCGAAAAATCAGGGGTATACAAACTCAAATGTGGATCGTGTCCTAAGGTATATATTGGTCAGACAGGTTGTACGTTTAATCAGCGCATTCATGAACATGAGATGAATTTTATGAAAAAGAAAACAAATTCAACTTACGCCAACCATATATTAGAAGAAAACCATAGTTTTGATGATAATTTCGAAATTCTGCAAGTAGAAAATGAAGAACTGAAACTCAATAATTTTGAATCATTAGAAATCAACAAACTCAAAAATTTTGAGATTTTACTTTATGATCAATTAGACCTCAATAGTTCACCACTGTTCAATTTGTTTTCTTAGTAAGTAATAATATGTATATTTGCTATCAACTTTTTCAAGTTGATCTGGTATACCGTAATTTAATGTAGATATTGTGCCTAATTTCCGAAAATGGAGGTTTATCGTACCTGTCCACAGGTAACTAATCCTTCAGGATGGGAAAGTAAGATATACACAAAGTTAAACAAGCCAACGTTAGTTTAGTTCATTGTACCAGAGTATATAGCCTGACGAAGCTACTGTGTTAGCAAAACATGTCGTGTGTTTGAGAATTTTGTGAAAATCTTATCGTTTGTGAAGTTTTTACATCTGATAATTTGAGACACCAGAATTATTTATCAAAGTAAAATGAGGGGAGTGGTTAAAATTGGAATCATAGGAATCAAACTTTGGAATGAGCCAATGTTGATATTTTTGTCACAATCCATAATGACTTGACCAAATTCTCGAATTCCAATTTTTCATATCAGAATTCCCTCATACGCCTTGTAATTAGTTTCTGAAAATGTATCATCTTGAACAAAATCTACTGCAAGGAGATAACAAAGTTGAAATTCTATTCAAAGCGAACATGTTGAAATTCTTTGTGTAAGTATAGAATATCAAATAGAAATGTGGCTGATAGCATAGTAATTTCTTAGCACACTAATTATTATTATTATTTGCTGCGGCTGCTGTATATAGGATTCAGCAAAACCTTCAATAGTACACTCAGGAGATTGGCATAGCATAATTAACAGGAGTAATTCTGTATACTAATTAGAGTATGAACACGAAATATTCATGATTCTGAGAAAATTATATATGACAACTATACATTCGATATAATACCAATGTCTGAATGGCCATTGCTGTTAAAGGAACAAATCAATTTTTATTTCCGTCTACAAGTTCAATAAATCTTCAAGAAACCGCTATTAACAATCAATTTGCAAGTTAACTAACGATTGTGGTATAGAGTCAACTATATATTTGCTCGATGTCTCCATCAGCAATACTCTTTCATGGTATAATCATTCAGATTCATCGCTGAAGCTGCCACATAAAAACTGGGATTCTAATTTCGTGCGTAAAGCTGCTTCACACCCCAACAGCTTCTGATGATTCACAAAGCACAGATACGACCTTTTCTAGACTACTGCTCCCACGTATGGGGTTTGGCACCCAAACATACTCTGATGCTCTTAGATTCCATCCAGAGAAGAGTCATTTGCCTGGTGGGTGATGCCACTCTCATAACAGTTCTCAAAATATATAATCATTTGCCTGACTTATATAAAGTTCTAAAGAATCAGGAGGGGTGAAAGAACTTACAGTCACAACTCCACCACATAAAATTTTTTCAATAATGACCAATGGTCATGGACATAAGTAAGGACATGTTTCGAAGGATTAATCCTTCAGATTATTTCTCAAAAATAAATGCTAAAATTTCTCAAAAATAACTGATAATACGAATGTTCCTTTGAGATTTATCTTTGATCATTCTAATAAATGTTAAGGAGAAGACTTTGGGTTTTCATGTATAAATAATTTTATCATAATATTATTTCGTATCCCGATAGGAATGCACCATTTCACATTTTGGAGAGAACTGAAGTAGTGCGGGTGCAAAACCAGTGCACCACCAGGTTCACGAATGGAATTGCTAATAGTTGAAGACATAGGAAGGGTTCAAAATATACAGAGACACCCTGTACAAATAGAGACTCATCTCCATCATGTCCATCTGCTTAAAAAACAGGACCAAAGAAAGTCCAAAATTCCCCATGACGGAAACCAACCGAACGTACCGGTTATCTGAATATTCAGAATAACACACCATCAAGGCAGTACCGCAGTACCCAATGGGCAGGACCATCGTCACGGACCAGTGACCCAATGACCTGGTTTCCTGAGTAGTACCATCGTGCCGTCTTCTGCTTCACTGAAATCCACGCGAATCGATTCAGTGTTGGATCTAACGAGTACTGCTGGTACTATTCGCGCTATTTCTTTGCCTGTTTATTGCTGGTCGTGTGTTCTGGAATTTTTGTGCCTCAAACCATGGGAGCTGCCACTGTTTTGGGCTAGGTGGTACCTAAGGAAAGGTCAGTATTCAGTTTGATGTAGTTATTGAGGTGAAACGTCCGGAAAATACTGTTTTCTTTTGGACTATTAGACAATTCCAATTAGGAAAGTTGCGAGTAGCAAATAGTTATTTGTTTTACTTGGCAGAAAAGCACAAGATTTTAATGCCGCGGTTGGCATTTCATAGTCAAGGCCAAGGGTAGGAAACCAGCCAATGCATTGAGTGTGCTTTTCTGCGATGTGAAACATATAAATATCTTCCTAATTCGTTCCAATTTTACGCAAAGTTCAAATAATCTATCATTTTCTGTTTACACAAAGTCATTATCAATTTTGATACTATTTGATTCACATTATCATTTGGAACGTTGCATAGCAACAAAAATTTTCCGCATGAGTCAGGAACAAGATTTTTGCGTGAATATTATACCGGGTGTCAACGAATCTATTAGACAAGTCATAACTTCTAGACCATTTGGTGTATCAAAATGAGATTTGTAAAAGGTGAATGGTATGTGAAGAGGAGGGTTTTCACATACTTTTCACTTTCCGGTCACTTCTGGTTTCACCGGAAATGGCTCCGGTTTCAAATTTTTGAATGAAACACCCTGTATATTGTAACATTTTTGGATTTCTGAGACAATTCTAGATCAGAATGTGACATTTTCCAAAGTTGTTATGCCTACTTGAAATTACATCTAGGTGGCCATGAAAATTACAATCGCGAAGTTTTAGTGACAAGTTAACATAGATATGAATAAGACAAGTTGGCAAAATTACATTTTCATGTCCAACTATCATTTTCCAAATGGTGGACCATTTTTTGACAAAATTTTACCTTCTGTTCTTGAAGCTTTTATGTCACTGTCATAACCTAAGTGAGTGTTTTGTTCTCCCAAGAAGACTTGATCGAAATAACTGCAAAGTATTATGCTTCACGCCTATCCTCGGCACACTTGACAAAAGTAAATGAATTATCATGAAAAGTATTCTCGTCAGTAATATTCAATTTATCTTCTTATTTGTAATCCAATCGCAAATAAATTAGTATCGTTAGATTCGTCAAAATATCCTTTTTTCGGAAAGTGCTGGTCAAAAAATGGTCGCCATTTGAGAAATGATAGTTAGACACGAAAATGTCATTTTGCCTCATCACCTGAGGTCCATAGATTAGTTGACTTCCGATCATGACCACCTAGATGTAATTTCAAAAGTGACTCCGAAAAAACTAAGTGGGCATAAAAACTTCCGAGAATGTCACATTCTGATCTAGAATTGTCTCAGAAATCCAAAAATGTTACAATATACAGGGTGTTCCATTTGAAAATTTATAACCGGAGCCATTTCCGATGGAACCAGAAGTGACCGGAAAGTGAAAAATATGTGAAAACTCTCCTCTTCACATACCATTCACCTATACCAAATCTCATTTTGATACACCTAATGGTCTAGAAGTTATGACTTGTCTAATAGATTCGTTGACACCCGGTATAAATGTTTATCCCGCACTAGTGTAAGAAGAATTCTCCCGCACTAGGATGGGAAAACTTTTCCCGTTCTACTGTGGAAAAGTGACCCTTTCCAAACTTCCAAGGACTTATAACCTCCAAAAGTACAAAACAATCCAACACCTATACCTCCTCTCCTTCGTAGGTACGTACGATGTTCTTCGAACATCAAAAGAATGTCCTTTCCTGCACTCCAAGAGATGAAAAAAGCTCAATAGCAATCATCTTTTGCTATATATCAAATTAGATTCTAATTTAGACGTCAGACAACGATATCTAACCGTACTTTGGTTGAAAAGAAACGCAATATCCTTCCTGCTGAGAGAATCTGGAGTTATAGGGAGGAATTCGCAATATCCTGCCCTTAGAAGTTTCTGATTAAGTGGAGCAAAAAATTATAATTATTATTCATTTTGAATGATTTTGTTTTGGTTCACTGATCGAAATGAAAATTCTGGAACTCAAGTACTTTCGCATTCTCTGCATAATTTGTTTTTAATTAAAATCAATTTTCTCATCGATAGGTCCTCAAAGTTATTTCTATACAGAGTACACTGAAACGTAATTTCTGCATCCATTATACAGGAGAAACTCACTTCTCACATAATGTCCAGTGTGAAAATTGATTTCCATTTCGCACATTTTGTATGTTGATAATTTATATGGTTTTTGTTGTCAATGTTGATATTGAAACACGAGTAGAGCATTTACATGTGTGAAGGCAGTAGTTTCAAACTTATTTGGATTTTCGTTTTCACTCTCAACTATACACTGAGAGATAGTGTGAAATCAAATCACCCCAGCAAGCAACTTAAATAGCATGAGAGACAAGCGAGTTATCACTTGTGAATATAAATTCGACCTTCCTGATTTGAATTCACTTGAGATATTTGGAAATCAGGTATCTGACTTTGCTACCGCTAGTGAGTGAATCCAGTAATATTAAAATCATTGGTAGAGAATTTTGAAAGTCAAGGTGGGTGAGCATCACTTTCTTGCTGTAGATATTCAGTTATCTTCCAGGATTGTTATCAGTTCTTATAATTTCCCCCTGTTTGGTGGGACGATCAATTCGAGCTTTCAGAGCTTAGATCAATGAAATTTGTTTGACATCAGTTTGGTTTCAGAGTAATTGTTGGAGAAAAAAATTGTCTGAAAACTACATAAAACCAATGTATTTCAAGAAAATGGCAAATTTTCACAGATGATGCGTACAAAAAAATTCACTCGTAGAAGGAGGTGTTACCCTCTCACCCTGTATCATTCATTCAAGTTATTTGGTAACCTGAAAATGTTTGCTCACAATGAGTAATCCATATTCTATAGAGAATCTATGATTTCCGTTTAACAATTTTGGAGTTGGATTGAATGGAAATGCAAAAAATTTTAAATTTTCAAACATTATTTTCTAGTCAGAATCACACGATTGAACTCACCCTTATTATTCCTGGCAGAAGCTGTTCTCAATATTCAGATCAACCGAAGCACTGAAAGAGACAGATTCAGATTTCCAAGGATATATTGAATTCATAGAATAAAATATTCGTGACAGTCCTGTCGCTCTGTACATTGTAGAATACTCCTTTGAGTGACTGCATAATATGTGGTTGTTGCTGAATTTACTGATTGAAAATTTCAAGTGGATTCTCAATTTGAACTGGATATTTCATCAAGTTTTCCTATCAATGAGAATGTTCATAATAAATTTGAATGAATCGGCTAATGAATTATCATTCCACACAGTCAAGTAGGGTGAAATTTCAACTCTATCGAGCGTGGACCAAAATTGAGTCATTATTGCGTGGACCTTGAGTGATTTTTCACCTAATTATTCTTCCAGTGTACATGAGTTTTGCATCAACAGTCCCACTGGCAATGATTGAACATGCCTCTGGAACGCAAGATGCCTGACAAATGCTCATAAAAGTGGGAACATCAGCAACAATAAGTACGCATTGAATAACCTCAAGTAGATTCGTCAACTATGATTTTAATGGCAGGGTGATAGTTGTATAATCGCTGATGAGTGCAGTTCTATGCGATGGACCCCGCAGCAACAGAAATATATTTCATTATGATAGTTATCCAGCCGAAAAAATATTGACAACATTCATACTATCCCAGAGTGACTGCCTGAGAGCAGCAGCAGTAAATTCATCAGCAGCTCGCCTTCAAAAATGTGTCACCGTAATATGATTTGTAATATTGGGAGTGATAGATATCCCAGCAACAACTGTAATATCACAATTTTTCTCAGTGTATCAACATGTAGTTGATTGAGAGATATTTTCATAGCTGTAAATGGAGTACAGACAAATGGTAGTTTGACATTGCAAAGAATCCATCAGTAGGTTTCATTATCTCTCTTCATATTCCTTCGGGTGCTGAATTAAAATCTTGACACCATAGGAATATAACTCGTTTATAAATAAATACCCTAATAATAATTACAGTTATACGGAATGATCCTCTCACAATGGACAAACAATGGTTTCAAGCCAGAAGCCACTTCCTCAAAATCACCCTCCTCCTATTCTCCTGCACGATAATCCTCGCTACCAGTACTACCGAGCAAGAAGTACAAGATGACAGCATCCTGAACAGAGAGCTCAAGGACTACGTGGATAAGGTGTTCAGCGTGGATCAGTTCAGCATCGTGCCAGGCGTGAGGATAGAAAGAGCTCTCAATGGCAGTGCAGCAGACAAAGGACAACCACGTGACACGGCGAGGAGTGGGGATAGCGTGGAGGAGTACTTCGTACGGAAGATTGGGAGATATGTCGACGGTCACGTGATTCTGGTCAATGTCGACGAGACGGCGAGGTTCTTGTCTTCTTCTCCAGCAGGTGAGTGCTAATGATCAACTGAGAATTTTCGTTGAGGTTCTGGTCTCCTTTCGTCTCAATTACCATTTATTTTGGAATGAACGTATTGGTCTACATCAATGGGCTTATATCACAAATCATTTTTATTTTATAATTAGATAGAACTCACCCAAACTAGCTCACCACCGCAAACCGTTTCTTACTGTGAGCTCCCTACGTTTTATAAAAAATTATTGAAATCCCCGATTTTCGGACCTCTGAACGAGGCGATGATGTGACGTCAAAACCCTAATACTGAAACAAGACTATTCCAGACAGAGATGAATGATACATGATTTCTGACAGAGTAAATTAGCGCGAGATCACAGTTGAAAGAATTAATATATCAGTTGCCTCAGTCTCCGTCGGGCGTTTGGTATTTCCGTTTAACTATGGCGAGATGAGGTTTCTACGTCATAAAAAGGTCCGTTTTCAGAAGGTACTATTATTTGTGTTCAAAAATAAAACATTCCAGTTAATTTTTCGATCGAATTATGTCGTGAATCATTATTGATGTATAAAAGGATCATTATAAACATGGTTTGAGTTGAAAGTTCTACTAAATTGTACACGCCCATTATTGTTGAATAACCATATGATATATACTGTGTGTTGGTTGATCGAGGAGGTGATATATCCATCATTCCAGAGCGAATGAATTTTTCTTTTAGGCTTTTTGATGGAAACATTTTTGGAGCAAACCATCTGGTCTGTCCTCACTACACGTTTATTGAAAAAATACTCATATATTTATTTTATAGAAACGAGGAAAAAAAGTCCCAAAAAATCTAGAATAATGAATAACCATATATGATATCCCTTGATATTGGCAAGTCAATGGAAGATTCAACAGACTAAGTGAGCAATATGTTTCAAGGTTCGATTACCTAACACAAACCACATTGATCCAATATCGTCAGAACTTCGTGACCCTGGTAATTCAATTTTGTCTGATAATGGATATACACTGTACAGTTTCATCAGGAAATCCATAGAGCAAATATATTATGGATTTTCATTTAACATTGTACTTCAACTGATGAAGCACATACAGTGTGTGTGATTTCAACACGCAACACCCTTCTGATGTAGAACCCATCGACCGATTTTCAAAAGCAAATATTGGGTGTCCCTATAAGAGCGCAGAATTCAGATTTGCTGCTATTTTGTTAATACGAATCGACACTGAGGAGTTTAATTACGAAATTTGGGACTGAATTGAAGCTGATGGTCTCAAATTTTTTGGCGCATTATACTGTGACCGCAAACTTGACGTAATTAGCGAACTGGATTTGCAAAACTTTCATTTTTGTAACCTGTTCTCACAAATATTGAATCACGTGGTCTGTACGTGACAATTATCACAAAAGAATCGTCGCACACTTCGTATTAACAAAATGGCGGCCAATTTCAATCCTGCACTCTTGTTGGGACACCCTTTAGTACTCAACGAGCTTCATTCGAAAAATGGAGTAAACCTGGAATATTCAGATTTTCAAGACCTATTTTTTTGTTGTAGTGGTCAATATAGTATGAACGATTTTTACGTGATTGTTTCCGAAACGTTGACTATTTTATTTGACACAGCCATAGATGAAATACGTCCATACAAAATTTGAACGCTATATCTCATATTGGGTGTAAGTTATCCGATTGCAAATTCTGATATATTCGATTATTTCAGTCACCATGTATCAAAATCAGGTTCCAAATCAAGAAGGTGTTGCGAGTTAGAATCGCACACTCTGTATATTTTGTTAATGAATATCCTCAACCCTAATATTATTTAGATGAATTTCAACAAAATACCTCAATTTTCCTCAGACATAAAGCAGCTTCCAAATTAATGGAAACCAACTTGCGGCAAGATCATTCAATGTAGTCTCTTTTTCCTCAACCAAACAAACAATTTGTCCCCATGAGGACAAAAAGTACTACAAGGATGAGAACCATCGAATGATCATTTGAAATAAAGCTTTTGCTAATATTCAATGAATGGGCTTATATCACAAGAAAAATGTATTTCATAATTCGATAGAACTCTCCCAAACTAGCACACCACCGCAAACCGTTTCTTGCTGTGAGCTCCCTACGTTTTTTAAAAAATTATTGAAATCCCCGATTTTTCGGACCTCTGAAAACGAGGCGATGATGTGATGTCAAAACCCTGATACTGAAACAAGACTATTCCAGACAGAGATGAATGATACATGATTTCTGACAGAGTGAATTAGCGCGAGATCACAGTTGAAAGAATGGGGGAGACCACTGATTTTTCAAATCGACATTATCGTGACCTCTATACTAAAAAACCACCAGTGAATTAATTATGAATTTTTTCATTCATGCTAAGACCATGAAAAAAATATATTAGAATATGTCCATTTCAAAACACACAATTCCTGCGCCATTCGAAATTTTGTCAATTTATTGGTGAGGCTGGTGCGACGTCTTAGTCCCAACACGCCTATTATCCTTGAACTGACCAATCACACTGCAGCACTGCAGAATGCCGAGGTATCAGAGAGAGATAGCTACAGTTCGGGACTAATACGTCACGGCTCTACCATCATATTTGGCTTCTTGAAATATCGAATGAATTATGCTGATTTCAAAACGATATAGTTTCGATTCCCTTCAACTTCAACTCATATTATTGATTGTACATAAAACGTAAATCATTATTCGTCGATTGAAAGAGGTTTGCACGGATTTCTTCCCTCAGTGGTCTTTCCCATTAATATATCAGTTGCCTCAGTCTCCGTCGAGCATTTGGTATTTTCTTTTAATTATGGCGAGATGAGGTTTCTACGTCATGAGAGGGTCCGTTTTCAGAAGGTACTATGATTTATGTCCAAAAATAAAACATTCCAGTTAATTTTCCGATCGGAATATGTCGTCAATCATTATTTATGTATAAAAGGATCATTTTAAACATGGTTTGAGTTAAAAGTTCCACTAAGGTGTACACACCCATTGTTGCATATTCAAAAACTATTCATCTGATTTTGTTTATTCAGCTGACACGGCTGCAGCAGTATCCGCAGATGCAGGCAAAAGCTCCTTCTTAACCGGTTTCGGAATGGGTTTCCTGGCTATGTTCCTCAAGAAACTTCTTCTGCCGGTGTTTATAGGAGCTCAGCTTGTCAAGAGCGTACTGATCGCCATGTTCCTACCGTCCATCCTAGGCGGCCTTGGGAAGATAGTAGGGAAGGGATTGTCGACTTTCTCAGGGATATCAGGCGCTTCCACGGGCATCAACCACCAACAGAACCACGAAGAAATGGAGGATTTCGAGTTCAAGGACGTGGATCCGTATAGCAACGATGCTGCTATTGGGGCGGACATTAATAATGAAGCTGATGCTACCAATCAGCTTTCTGTGATTGATACGAGCACAATGACGTCAGCCAATAGCAGGTAAGGAGCACAGTCACTATGTTGCTCAAGATGTCCCTAAAAGGTCTGTACAAAATCTTAGCACCCCTATCCCTACTAAAATTATGAATGTGAATGTAGGTTTGTTTGTTGGGCTTTCACGCCAGAACTACTCAAACGATCATCTTAAAATTTTGTATTCATATTCAATGATATATTAGGAAGGACATAGGAAGTTTTTCATTGAAAAAAAAGTTCTGACGAACGGTAATAAAAATATTTTGACAGACATGATTGTACTACACAAAATATCCAAAGATAAGACCTTGAACTCTATACGCCGGTACCTCAGATATTGATTATTGAAAAACGTATTACGGGACTGGTGAGTGTCAGATAAGGAAATGAAAATGACAAATATTCCACCAAACATCAGGTGGGTACAATCAAGGCGCAAAATTTATTACTGCATGAAATATACTCTTCAGATTCCATGCTATTTAGTGACTTGACCACGAATGACATCATTGACATTGATATTCTAGTATTCTGCGCAATCAAAATGCACGATTCAATAATACCAACAAATAACTCATTTTTGTTGTAGTGAAATACTTCTTAAGTTTTGTTGTAGTAAACTAGACAAGCCCAGACAGCACATCATTTCGTTGTCAACCTCGGAAGATGTCGAACAGCACTTTATCAAAACTCCTTCATCCATAGAACGGCTAGGCTCTGGAATTCATTGCCTGAGGAAGTATTCCCAACAACATATAATCTCCAGAAGTTCAAAAAAAATCCAATACCTACCTCCTATCCCTATCCTCCCTAGGAACGCACGATGTTCTTTGAACATTATAGGGATTCCCTTTCGTGCGCTCCAAGCGATAAAAAAAATTATCCCAATAAAGCATCTCAGAAGTATCTTTCAAATACTGAATCCCATTGATTCAGTTCTATAAGAATGTATAATGATTCCTTATGTTCATTTAAGGCTTCAACGAGAGTGAATTCGCAGGTTGAAGCTAGTATTACATATTCCTGAGGTCAAAATACGTCGATTCAAAGCAACCCACATTCGTAAAGAACACTCCTGAAAAGTATTTTGAAAAATTCATCTTCGCACTGATGCGAGTTTACTGACCAAATTATAGACTCGAAGATAACAGCAAACATTTTTTTATTCAAAATTTAAATATTCACTAGCAATACCAGTCACACGAACTCGGAAAACCCAGTCAGCACATCAATTTGTTGTCAAAATAACCTTGAAATATGTTGAAACATATTCTACCAAATCTTGTTGGACTATAGAACAGCAAAGCTTTGGAATTCTCTGCTAGTAGAGTATTCTTAAGAACTGATAACCCCAGCAGAAATTTGAAAACAGTGAAAAGGTATTTCCCTATTTAGGTTTTGCATCTACACCGCAAAACCACCAGCTACCAATTCTGAAAATAATACGTCTCGAAAAATTCCTGAATTTCGAAAAATGTTATTTTAATTTTCTGACTTCACCCCTCCGTATCTTGTGAACGAAGCAATTTCGGCTGAGATTTTGTACAGCTGGCCTTTCTGGGATCCTCTGAATGAAATTCTAGCATGAATCCACAGCCTTCTTTATTGAAAATCACCCATAATAAAACTTCCACTCTGTTCACCAGACTCATTACAGTTTTCTTAGACATTCTCCCAATATATGAAGCATTGGAACCTCTTGTTATTTACAATGAACGTATACGAGCTATTTCACATAAATTGCAAAGTAGGTCATGTTGGCTGTTTGTTTGTTATGCTGGGAATAAGCCATCGAAATTTCCACAAGAATACAAACATCCCACAATATTCCTCTTCAGTCTCAGTCCTGAGGCTAATAATTAACTTTTCGTATATATGCTGCTATTGAATGTGAAGTATGGCATCATTGACATTGAATCCAAAACAAGTGAGGTTCAAGGAAGTAGGAGGAAACAAAATAATTGATATTTCATAGAAATTGATGCTTATGATGGTTGTGTATCAGACCTGAAAAAATATTCATGTACAATTTACATATTGCGACTGGAAATATCTAGATATGTGACAATGATTATACAGTATAATATATTTAGTAGCTTCTACAAAATACACACGATTGAATTCCCAACAAACAGTTGCCTTCGGATTCATGACATTTTAGTATTCACTCAAGCACAACGAAATGATAGGACAAGGAATTAAATACCTCTCCATTTCCTTTTCATGCTCATACATGTTTTCAGTTGCGATGGAGTATAGCTCGAGTTTTGGTCTACATATTCCAATAAAACTAATTGTACTTACTGACTTCACGGTTGTCAATTTCCAACAAAATATGTGGAATAATAAGATGACATTTACTACATGGATAAAACGGTTCCTTCATGGTATTGACCACGAATATCTTGAGTTACCAACAATCATCATTGAAATCGAATTGCATATTTAACCGTTTTTTTTTTGTGAAATTTGTATATTCCTATCTCAGAGTTGGAAACTAACTCCCCAGAAGTATAGGAAGATAAATATTGAAAACCTGTTAATAGTAGTTTTGGCATCTTCTATATATTAGGTAATCAGCAAAATGAGAAGGAACGATATTTAAAGAAGATTCTTATATTTTTTCCGGAAGTTACTATACCAAGTACTACTCTCGTGGAAATCACTGAAGTAATTACTACGTCTTTGAAATAACGACTTTAAGAAGTGCTGTAAGCAGCTGATACTTCGATTCAAGAAGTATGTAGGTATGTTTGTATGTTGATATCTGTTTCGTCTATAAAACTGTCAATGAAATTATCGATTTTTCATACTGTACAAGTTTTTTCCTCTTGACTTGTACCCGATATCTTGTGCGACATCGGCTACTATTTGCACCTGGTAGGATAACTACCAATTTCATGTCCAATTCTCCACTATGAATGTGCACGAAATTTAATAATTGTTCAGATACGAAAAATTCGATGTTTTTTAGAACGAAATGAATATTTTCAGGAGAAAGTTGAAAACCGCGCTGTACAACCGATAGTAATGTTTTCGTTTTTTTTCTTCTCATTCATTTTTGGATATGCAATGTATGTGTGTATTGCACTGATAATTTCTGATACTTCTTGATGGTAGTTCAAACCATATGCTGATTTTTTCATTAGTATCATTGGGCATATATAGAAACTTTTTTCCTGATATCTTTTCAGTTATTCTCAAAATTTTGCATAATATCGAAATAAGTAATTCTTATCCTGAATCTAAAAATATTCATTTCATTTTCTGTAGGGCTATTTGGAATCAAATTTTAGTATGGCATCCATAGCAGGGTTTTGGTTTTAGTTAATACTGGTTAAAATCAAATTGAATAATCCTGAGCTCTCTAGATATTTGATTAGCTCAATGTTGATGTCTTTCTCCATCAGTTTGAAGATGACCGATAAAAAGGCAATTGACCTTCAGTTGTTGGGCAGTTTCTTGTTTTCTTTTTGAGAGATTGGACTGTAGCTCGTCTAGAGCAAGATGAAAAAATACCCACCGATTGGTGATATTGTGTCATTTCAATTGGGTGGAAATCAACAATTAATAGGCTAAGAATCCATTGATGCCCTAACTGTATCTATTATATAAAATGGCATACCACTACCTGGGCCAGTGTAAGGCGTTATGGAAGGCTGAAATTTGAAATCTCTGGTAATGACATCGTCCACCAATATTGGTACGTATGAATATTTCGAAAATTATCCCTCGTCTCCGACTCGAAATAATTTCCAAAATATCCATGAGCTTGAAAAAATTTCCGGAAATAAATTGACCTCTAGTGGTATTACAAGTAAGAATACTTCCATGAATTAATAGATCGAATGAAATTGCAGATTCGGCAACTCCAACCAAAGATTCTCACTGGCCACTCCTCAACGCAGCGACAATTACTACCTGCGTCGACCCCACAAGAAAACAGACTACAAGGTGTTCCACAAGATCCCCGATTCGTCCCTGCTTCTGACCAGCTACGACCCGTTCTACAGCCCGCTTCTGTCCCGCCTGGACGCGGTCTTCCAGCAACTGGGCCTGGGAAACAGCAAGTCCCCTGAGACGGAGAGGTGCAGGGAGAGGATGGTGTGTCTTATGTATGCCAATCCTGCGAAGTATGCTCCTTACAGCAACTTGCTGTCTGCCCAGCTCAGCAGGTGAGTTATTTTTAGACATGTCTCGGAGCGCACGAAAAGAAATATCTGCACAGAAAACAACTGATACTTAGAATCAGTTATTGCAAGAGTACAACCAGTTCCTAAAATAGGCAAAAAAACACTACCTAGCAACAACAGACCGATCGCACTGCTATCTAGTATTTCAAATATCATGAAGGAAGTTATCGACATCGAGCTCATGAAATACCTGGAACATTCAGGTATTATCAACGATAGGCAATATGGCTTTCGTCATCAGAGATCAACTGGTGACCTGCTCGCTTACGTCTCACATAGCAATCTATTGAAAAATATAGTGGAACCTTAGCTGTGGCACTTGATATCTCCAAGGCATTCGATCGAGTCTGGCACCACGGACTCCTCGCCAAGCTTCCATCTTATGGCTTGCCTCCACAGCTATGTTCTCTGCTAGCTAGTTTTCTCTCAAACGGGTCTCTCCATGTAATGGTCGACGGAGTTTCATCTGGCTCTCTTATCATAAATGCTGGTGTCAATTCTAGCACCAACACTATATCAACAATTGTTCCTCCCTTGGCAGTCTCCGCGAGATTAACCCGTCGAGTTGAGGCTTCGCATCCCTTCGTGGTCACTATAAAGACCTGCAGAACATCTCTTTCCAAATACTCGTTCATCCAACGAACAGCGAGGCTCTGAAACACATTGCCAAGAGAGGTGTTTCCCGAGGCATAACCTCCAGAAATATAAGAAGAACACCAATTCCTACCTTATTTCCCTTGGTACTCACGATGTTCTCTGAACATTACAGATTATCCCTTTTCGTGGGATCCAGAACATAAAAAAAAATCCGGAATTCACATAGTCGTTATACGAATGGCGGATACTCGGTGGGACAGCAAAACGCGTTTTAATCATTGTACTGAGCGAGGGCCTACTCCAAATATGCTCTGACATCTTGAAACCATACCTCTTTCATAAAGTCACAGATAACTTGCAGTCTAAGATAAGATTTAACTCAACTCAAGTTCAACCTTAGCTTCTAGGAACTAAAAGTGTTGCCTAGCGACTCATCTATGTTTGTGTCAGTAATAAAAACGTTAATTCAAGAGCTAATCTTTGAATCGAAATTGACGATTTCTATGTCGATTGCATAAAATAGTATATTGTTCAACGAGCACGGAATGATAGTGATTTCCTACGAGAATGAAGTTTGCAGCATCAGCCATAGGCGAATGCTGCAAACGAACAAATTGCATCGTCGATACCAGTGGAATTTTTCATTTTCTAGATTCATGATTATGATACACCAATATCTATATATCTCAGATAATTCATCAACAATCAATTTCAATCATTATCATTGGAAAATTGTCCTCTGTGGAATGTACAGAATTGTACAGAATTGGTGGCTTAATTCTTGTAATAGAAATATGTATGGTGTCCTGAAGAGATCTACAATCAATTTTCAATTGATTTCTTAGGACTGACCTGGAGAAAGTAAGTGGAAATCGGAAACGATTCACTTTTTCTGAACTACATTGACAATCAAATTCCGAATCTGAACTTGATATGAGTTCGTACTCGTTTTTTGTGTCGGGAAGACAAACTCAAGGGAGATGAAAAATAGATTAGTTTCCTAATGAAAATGTTGGAACAAACGTTCAGGAATAAGAACAGGAATATATGCCTCGGAGGGATTCCGTTGATTTTCTCATCTCCATTGGAACAAAAATAATCCAGGAAACCCTATAAAATAGCTATAAATAGATATCTCTCGTTGAGTTTTTTCTCATTAAACCATCATTTGTTGTGAATCAGAATGTCAAAATAGGACTTTGTTAATATTTATTGTTCGTTGAGATATCACCAATTTTATGAATTTCTAAATCAGTTTTTTGATAGCCATGGCTTCAAAATAACATTTAATAATTTGATTTCAACTAGTGTGCCTCGAAAATCTCATTTTACGCTCTTTGATGAGTGTCACCTGTCATGATGTTTAACAGCTGAACAAAAAACATGTGACACTAATATATTTTATGATTGATGAAACGTTATTTTTCTGTACTCCTTTATTGAACGAGTGCATGAAATCCTATGTATTTCCATGGAATGAACATCAAAATTTGAAGCATCAACGAACTTTCGAAATGTCGTCTCATCTTTGGTCTACTTAATTGATCGTTATTCATCATTCTTAGAATTCTCGCAATTCGGTACCCAACAATATGTACATTCGAAAAAATGTTTGCGGAAACGCCTGTTCAATTTCCAGAACTTACAGTTCAAATATGAAAATTTTGACAATTCGGAAATGTCATAAATGACAAGCGTGTTCACACTATGGAAAAGGCGTGAAATGAAATGTAAGAGGCACTCTAATTCCAACTACAATTTCGGGATCAATAGGTTATATTACGGAAAGGTAAGCTCTATTTCAGAATTGGATAGTTCAATTCCATAAATGATCAACTCAATTATAGAATCGGTGAGTAGAAATTCAGAAAAAGTCCATTCAATTTCAGAAATAGTAAGTTGTATATTAGGATATTGGTAAGTTCAACTCAAAATGAATAATCCTGATAATTATCTTGAATTAAAATATCTCACTGTATAATTCTTAGTTGTTATTATGATGATGTGGTAGAATCTCTATTGGGATAATAATATGTTTTTAAAAAAAGATTTCATCAGATTTTGTAGAAGGAGCACAAAGAGAGTGCAAGGAAGTCAAAGGGCTGCTAACAGATTTCCAAAAATATTTCTCAACCAAATAGAATTCAGACGATGATGTCTTGAAGAATCAGCAGAAAATTCGAAAATAATGATAATACCTCAAGTGTTTCTGCATTCTCATAATCATGTGCAACGCCACTATCCATCGGCGATTCAAATGAAAAACATGTCATGTCTGTGGATTGAATCAAGATTATATATGTTGTTATATGGTTTTTCGAATTTGAATACTGTTGAGATATTTTGTTCATTCCACACGCAATGAATGCTATCTCAAACGAATATGGGGATTCATGAAATTGAACTCACTAATTCTGAAATACAACGAACCATTTCTGAAATTGAATTGAAATCTTTTGAACTTCAACTCAGCAGATTCTGATAGTGAGTTTCTCATTCAAGAAATCAAACTAAACAATTCTGTAATCTTTCTCGAAATATAGCTCAGCAATTCCGAAATTGATGTTGAAAATGTATAGTAGTGCTATTGATCACAGTCCAAACTAGCATCCATAATATCATGATTTTCTGCTTGATTCCTCAGGTGATTTTCCTCATTGGCCTACGTCTAAAAAATTATGACCAGTCTCCGAGATATTTTCACGATATAATAGATGGTTAGTCCATCCATATCGATTTATACGGGGTAATGCTTGGCTCAATAGTGCGCGAGAGGTAATATTCGAATAGGCACTAATAGTTCAGGGGTAACTGAAAGTACGAGACTATCTTCAACAATAACAATATTCATTGAAGCATAAAACATTATGGGTAGCAATGAGCAATATGAATGAACAACAATGATTATAAAGACCTAATAACAACTTACATTATAATGACCATTGTCAAGTCAAGAGTAGCCCCAGACCAGACTATATTCGGAACCCTCACATCCAATATTTATAAATATACATCATTTTATTAGACTTGTACGTGTGTCATGAGAGTTCCTTGGTCAGTTTTGATAGTTCAATGTCGACGGATTAATTGATTAACTCTTTGTTTTCTTCGAAATTACTAATATACGTACCGTATGTCAGACTGTTTTCAATAATTAGAGTGTTCCAACATACTTTTCTTTTGTTCAGGGAGCTGAATGAACTTCGCAGACCATCTTCAGACAACCCGGACATCCTGCGATTCTTCAGGTACATGAAAGCTGCCAAAGACGGTCAAGATGGCGAGGAATGTCTGACCCATGGAGGATGTTCTTCCTTGAACGCGCAAAAACCTAGTCCTGCTATGCTCACTACTTTTAACGATATCAATAAGTTAGTTTTAGCCAGAAAACTGAATTGAACCTTTCTGTCCTAGTGACGCCATATGGTCACATCACCAATTTGAAGACCACTGTGGATTGATTATACAGTTCTGCTTCAAAAAAGATGGAAAATGGCATACTCAATCTGGGTCACGTGACTTTCGTTACATGTCAAAAGTGACATTTTTTTCAAATTATTCGCTGAAATTAGGCTTATTTGTTCGAATATCAAAAAAGTTTACTTGAAAAAGTTGTTTCTATTGCAATTTCACACATGCTTCTCGAATTCGATCTTTCTATTGCATTTTTTAGATTTTGATTTTTTTTTAATTTTTCGAAATTTCTGTAATATTTGAAGAATTGTCAATTCCACGAAACTACTCCATACCAGTAGCTTTTTCATGCTACTCACTTTCAATTACTTATTATCACTGATTATGGACAGAAATATGATTTTCTTCAGAAAATGATAATACCCGCTTCCAAATTCTGTTATGTTTGATGCAAAGTTGATATATCGTCAAGCAATTAGAAACGAAATTCATTCAAACTGATCTTTTCAGTACTGAAAAAATAAATTTAAATGAATTTCGTTTCTAAATGCTTGACTCAAACCTAACAGAATTTTGATGTTATGTTTGCATCAAACATAACAGAATTTTGAAGCGGAGATTATATCATTTTCTGAAGAAAATCATATTTTTGTCGATAATTAGTGATAATTAGTAATTGAAAGTTAGTAGCATGATGAAGCTACTGGTATGAAGTAGTTTTATCGAATTTACAATTTTTTTAATATTACAGAAATTTCGAAAATTTATAAAAAATATCGAAGTCTAAAAAATGTAATAGAAAGATAAAATCCGAGTCACATATGCCAAATTCAAATAGAAACAACTTTTTCAAGTAAACTTTTTCGATATTCGAACCTAGCCTACTTTCAGCGATTAATTTGAAAAAGTGTCACTTTTGACATGTAGCGAAATTCACGTGACCCCGATTGAGTAGGCCATTTTTCATCTTTTTCGAAGCGAAACTTAACGTCCAACCCGAATTTCGAAATAAGTCATTATAACAAAAGTTTTTCTCATATGATGCCGACTTTATGAATGACACTGTATACAGCCAATTGAAGGAAGGGATGACAGAAATATCTAGGCAGCGTCATTTCTACAAATTGGTGGAAAATAAAAAAAAACTCCTCAAATGATCTAATTTTGATTTTTAAATGATGATTCATTCCTCTGACATGAAGGCATAACTGAATATCAAAGTTTTTTTGCTGTTCTTGTCAGTTTTTCCGATATCATGTTTTGATGGACAAAGTTAAAAAAAATGGAGCTGTTTCTTGCCTGAGACATGCCAAAAAAAATTGCGTTTATTTATGTGTATTTGGAAACATAAAGTCGAGAAACTGAATAAAACGTCTCTATAAAATGTTGAGTTGTATATATGAATACATATTCTTGATTTTGATGAATATGATCATATTTTGTCAACGAATAAGTGCAAATTGCTTCAAACCGAGAGCAAGGCAGCTCCATATAAAGTTGCCATTCAGTTACCATCATTCAGAGACCTGATTAGTGCAGAAAACGATCGGCATATTTTTTGAAGGCTAATTCACTAAAAATCCCATTTTCGTAAAGAAATGGACCTGCCTGGTTATTTCAGCAACTCCCCTACAATTGTGCTTCATATACTTGCCTTCTTTTTGTTGATGAACTATACTCCATATGGTATCTCTTGGAATTACGAGTATCATTTATACATAAAGTTAGAAATTTGAAAGAAGGATTTTACTTCATCGATATCACTTTGTTTCCTGGTATATTGATGTTCACTGTAGAAAATAGCACTTAAATTATTTATTAGCATTTAGGTATTTATTTATTTATTAATTTATTTATTCCTTCTATTATTTATTCATTTATATTCACACCATCATTTCTAATGAAGAAAATAATAAATCAAACATGGAAAGTATGATGCTTTTATTCCTTTATATCTACACCAGTACAGCATTCGTTGGAAAAATGAACTCATACAATTGGAATTATATGTTTGAATATAATTCGCAATATAGTATCACTATACTTCACTTTGTTTGATCGAAAATAAAATACAATGAATTTATCAGGGGTAATTTTTTAATTTCCACTCACCCTGTTCGATTCTGAATCATTACGAAAAGAACCATCTGTGGGGAAAATTTCAAATTTCAAATAAGGAACATCATTCTCGTTCACGCTTATGTACTTGAGGAATACGATGACACGTACAAAAGAATGTTCAGAAAGGATGGGTTCATTGAGAAAAATGTGAAATGCGAATTCATTGTTTTAGTCCTCAACTTCACAATTATTCTGATATAATAGCTGTCCAGTTCAAGAATACGCCGTTTCTGTGATTATTAACACCTTAGAATTCAGTCTTCAACTTTCTAAAGCTCTTTCGATCATAATTCCATCCATTCACACTGAGTTTTCCTCCATAAACTCATTGTTTGATTCATTCGATAGGTCATTGGAGCAGAGAATTCGACTTAAACTTTCCAAATGATCAAATAGACCAGTGGATATGCTCAGAAAATACATTAATGCATCTTCCCGAAAAGAAATGATGTGGGTGTACATGAGTGAAACTGAAATAGTACATTCCTTGGGAAGATCTGATCATTTTTTTCAAAAAGGTTAATTCATTAGAGAAAATATTCATTTCCATCATTGGGTTGAATACCTCGAACATTTTAGTCATGCTTCCACGTCTATTAATTGTAACCGGATCTTCAATACCAGGATCTACTTTCTCCTGCTACATACTCACTCTAGATGTTACAATAACATTAAGTATTCCAAGTTGGGGAATAAATTAGTCATAGAAGTTATACAATTACTATGACTTGCCTCTTATGTAATGGAAGTAATATATTCAACTTTATATTCAGCTCAATTAGGCACTTTCGTAACTTCTAGTGGCATTCCCAACCTTGAAACTCATTTTCTACATATTCTGTAATTGTTCTCAAGGTCAACAAGGCGATAGGTTCTTCTACGACAAAGGGGATAAAATGAATTTTTTTTCTGTGATTGTTCATAAATTTGAAATTTCATGTCTGTTGACAGGTCATAAAACATCACTTCTCTAAAATTTCTTTTTTCTGCCATTGCATTTCGCGGTTACGTGAATCACTGAACGACCACTAAGTTCAAAATTCTTTTAAATCAAATCACAGAAATAGACTGATAGATTGAAGATATTAGATTACTTCAAAAGAATGATGAAGATGCCTGCAAAAAATTCCTGCAACGGAGGGGTAATTCCTGTTGACAACTCCAAATTTCATGATGATTATTTCTGATTTCAATATCATGTGATATCTCCTCAATATTGATTCGAACTTCGAGCTAATGATACTAAAAAATCTACAACTTTTATTCATTTTATAATGAATAACTATGTTCCTAGCCGTCAATACTGTTTTTTGTTACTGTCATCCCCCAATCCTAAAATCAATCATGTCCAAACAGTTCGCTAGGAAGATTCAAAAAACCTTGCATCTTCCTTGCAGATATCGACAAACTCAATGAATTTGTTGAAGAATCAAAGAATCAAATTGATAATAGCAAGAAGTGATAGTGATACAAAGGTTCAGTCTCCTTAGTAGATCTTCTCGATGGTGATATCAATCTAATCGCCATCCAAATTCAACTGAGTTGCAGTAGTCTCAGAAGACGAGTTGAAGCTGTTAATATCACAATATTGATATCTAATTTATTCCCTGGATGTTTTTTATTTATCTCTGAACTCAATCCACCAAGTTACAGCTAATGAATTCAATGGGTTTTATGAGAATATTTCTGAATGGCCTTTTCTACTGTTTACTCACACCATAGATCTAATTTGCTCACACCAAAATAACACCAACGCCTCAAGTTTGATACCAAGAACCGGCAAGGTTAATACTCTGCGGTAGTCACAAGAAATCGCTTTCTCTGGGCATTGCCCCCCTTTTGGAACTGTTACCTAACTCTGGAGATCCCAAGACATAATATCGATCTGTTATGACATCCTACCACCCCCAAAGCTCTATAAATACCACCAAAACACTATCATCTGGGATCAGTATGCCGCAAGGTACATCCCAAAACTGCAAGCCGAACCGTTCGTGGTATCCCGTTAGATTATTTTGCCCTCCTTCGCGTTGATTCCTGCTAAACACACAGTTATTCGGTATTAAGTGATCGAATAGAACTTAGTTGACAATTTCATTTAGCAAGTATCTTGTGTGCTTTGAGTTTTCTAAATATTCGACAATGCTGGAGTTTGCTAGATGGGTGTTTTTATGCTCGGCTGTATCATTAGTGACGTTGCAGACGCTAGGTCAAGAAAACAATAATTATCAGCCGCAAGCAGGCATTCAAGATGGAAGAGAAGGTGAGTGTGATGGTCGACAGTGGAGTAGGTGGAGCTTGAGTGTAAGGGACACTTTAACTGAAATGAGTTCAAAATAAAGTAATCCAAGTGTCAGTACACTCCCCTCGTAAGGGCATCTGTCGTGTTTCTTCGTATCAAAGTTATCCCAGGACAGTGGGAGAAATCATCAGATTGATTCGAAGTGAATTTTTTTGGTGACCGAATGAGGAAAAGTATATTGATATGCTTTTTGCTTAGGGTCATTTGATTCATTCGATATGGCACTTTTAAGTAGAGAATAATGAATTGATGGTGTATTTCACGAACGCAGATATTGTTTTGAGATTGAAAATGAACAAAAATGCATTAATTATCACTTCTAATCTCCCTAGCAGCAGGATTATCGGAAATTGATTCTGCTGTGTGAGAGATTCGGTAAAAAATCATGAATTGTGATGATGGTTTGTGCATAAACGGATTTTAAAACTCTCAACTTCAGGAGATTATGTTTTCAAATTCTTATGGTGTGTGATCAATAGATATAATTCAATGTTCGTCGTGGCATATAACCAGGAGAGTAGTTGTCTTCTGTTGAATAAACCGAGATAGAATCGATATTTTCATCACATAGATAATGCAATTTCTCAATGTATTTCTTTATTTATATATCCATATTCTCATGTCCATGATTTATCTGAGAATATTCCGTTTCAATACATGATTTTATTTGTTAGTAACTAAGGTTCAATACTAAAATTTCAAGAACATTTAAAACATTGATTCGTTTTCAAACATTAGTTTCAAATAAAACTGTGACTTTTGCCAATAGATATGAGGCGATTCATTTTTTTTTTCATTCATCAATTCCATTAAGTTGAAAGTACCGAACAAAATTATCGCGATGGTAACACATTGCTATAAGCAACGTTATCAGAGAGGAGCCTTCTGATTGGTTCAAAATGAATTTATGGAATTTTCAGAATAATGGGAATGTTGTTATGCTGGATCATTGATTCAACCATACTGCTTGATGGTCTTCTTCAGATAAAGACGACTATATAGACTCTGGTTAACTGACTGGAAACATCTTTTTCATTCAAGGGTCAAACAATATAGATACTGATCATTTCGGGAGTGTCATATTGGGAAGATGAAATTTTCAATACAACTTTTAATGGAGCTTACATAATTGGATGATGTGACATATATCTCATTGGATGAAGATGTTCAATAAGGCCTGAACAAAATTAAGGAGGCCAATACATCCACACTAAAACCGTATCGTAAAAATATCGTATAAAATAAAATGAGAGTTCCATCTGCCTTACACGCCAATGACCTTTAGCTGATGAAATGAGTTTTAATAGTATAGGAGTGTCTAAGCGTTATACAGTGTCGTGAAGTTGAAAGAATAAAGTAGTAGTCGATTCATTTGGAAGAAAAATGCCTGTTTCCCAGCAGAACACAGATACATCACAGAGATATCGCAGCGATGTAACAATTTTGATCTGAGATATCGCATTCTATGTCGCATAGATGTGTTGCGATGTCAGAGGGATGTTATGTGTTTGCTTCTATACATCGTTACGATGGAAAATTGACAATATCACTGTGTGGCCTCATCGTGATATTTCAGAGATGTGATGTTGCAGATGTGTTTGCTAATGAATATCGCAGCGATAGAACGCTTGTGATATCGCACTGTTCCCTGAACGCAACATCTCAAAGATGTGATGTCACAAATGTGTTGGCTGAGTTATGAGCTAAACGTTGTCGGATGGATTTTTCTTGCACTTCTGAAGCAGTTTCGAAATCCAATGTCAGAGGTCGTGAATCTTGATGATAATGATTGGCAAGAAATATATCACAAGTCAGGCAAGTCTGGGTTAATTTTATTCAACCATCATGTTCACCAAGTCTTTCGTTCCGATGGGTACAAATCAACAGATGAAATATTTTCGTTCTGTATGTATCGAAAATGAATCAGTCTACGGAGAGAATATTCGGAAAAAATCCATTCCAGTATTATTTCGAAAATATTTTTATCTACGTACAGCCGTATCATCAGACACTCTTTCTTATTCCATTAAGTTGTCTTAGCAAGCCTCCATCATTCCGTTCACTGGATTTCATATATACACCATCAAGTGAGCGGTGTAGCTCAAGATCGGTAGTTCTTTTGTTTTATGTCTGCTCCCGCAATATCACCGAAAGCGTTAAAGTGAGTAATTTTTTTCTAGAATGGGCACTTTCTTTCGATGGAGGTGTATTCTATATTGATATTGTTGTCGTGGAAATCTCTTCATTTCGATAAAGATAAATCACCTGGCTACTAAATCAACAGAACTGAAAGGAAATCACTGAGGTGCGAACGATGGTTTCCAAATTCTAGACAACTCCTTCGTAGTGAGGAATTACACCCACTTCTTGATATCATTTGAATATCTCTGTAGATGCTTCAAAACGCTTTTGGAACGAGTAAATATAAAAAAGACATCAACCGAAAATCGAGGCGCCCAGCAAACAGAGTTACATCACAGAGATATCGCAGTGATGTAAAAATGGTAACCTGTGATATGGCATTCTATGTCGCATAGACGTCGGTGCAATATCGGAGAGATGTTATTATGTCCCACTAAAGTTTCATCCAAGCGACGGCGCTGCGATCAGTTCTCTGCAATATAACAGCGATATATTTTATGCAATGTTATTGCAATATGTTATTTGTGATGGAGAAGCGATGTGTTTCAGAATGATGACTTCTAATTATAATGAGATCTGTTACGCGTCTTGTCAGCGATATGTTAGCTAACCAAGAAAAGTTTGACAGCGATGTGACGAATATTTGAGAATTTAGCTTCACCTTGTTGAGTAACATATATTCTTGTATTCTTTTTCACCGAACAAGAATCTGAATGGAACATTTTTGAGAAATTATCACATATGAGTTTGCCTCTGTACATCGCAGTGATGCATAATTCGTCATATCGCAGTTTCGCTTCATCATGACATCTTAGAGATGTCATGTCGCAAATGTGTTTGCTTTAGTAAATCGCAGCGATAGAACAATCGTGAGATTGCAGTTGTTACCTCATTGCGACATTTTAGGGATGTCATATCGCATATATGTTTGCTCCTGTACATCGCAGCGATGGAACATTCGTGATATCGCTGTGTTGCTCCATCGTGGCATCTCAGGGATAACATGTCGCAGATGTGTTTGCTCATAAATATCGCACCGATGAAAAATAAATTGGCTTCATCTTGCATCTTTGGTAGAAATGTAGGTATAAGATCTTTGCTACCCAAATACCTATCCAGTGTCTCCATCAGTACTATAAAACGAATATCAATTTCTTTTTTGAACTTCAATGATCGCATCCACTTCCTTATATTTCAAACTCACCTAATGGAAACTTCAAAATGCATTTTTTTATGTTCTGGTTCTTACGAAAAGAGATATCCTGTAATGTTCAGAAAACATCGTGAGGACCAAAGAAAATAAAGTAGAAATTGGTGTTCTTCTTAAATTTCTGAAGGTTATATACCGCGGGGAACACCTCCTTTGGCAATGTATTCCAGAGCCTCGCTGTTCGTTGGATGAACGAGAGATTTTATGCAGGTCTCCAAAGTGACCACGAAGGGGTGCGAAGCCTCAACGCGAAGCCTCAACAGTCCAAGGGAGGAACAATTGTTGATATTCCAGAAGAGCATCGTCCATAAAAATATCTATAAAATAGAGCAAGATCGCCAACTTTTCTACAGTGTTCCAGAGAAGTGAGTGGGTTTGTGAACGAGGCATCACCTACCAGACGAATTGCCCTTTTTTGGACAGGTTACATTTCCCGTGAAAGTATCTATAGAAAAGTGGAAGGTCGCCGACATTTCTAGAATGTATATTTGGGTGTCGAACCTCATATGTGAGAACAATATTCCAACACTGCTTTACTGCACATTAAGATATTCCGATCATCAATCGCCCTTATCGATACACTAGCTGGTTGAATATATATTGACTATTTTTGTTTCAGGTCGAAATCTCTTGGATTGGATTGGCTTCGGAACAGGTCCTGACACAGATCCGTATCTAGCCCAAACGAACCAAGCTTGTCTCAATGGAGACCTCGCTGAATGCTTCAAATCGAGAGCTATTTCTTCTTTCGAAGAATTCTTCAATAAGGTAGCTTATACTTATACTGTCAATGACAAATCAAAGAAAACTCGATATTTATTTTGGTCAGTCACACTCTGTGCACTGGTAACATCCTATTCAAGATGACATCTATACATGAGCCAATCAATCACAAAGAGTATCAGTTTCACAGTTGAAATAATCCGAATGCGAAGCGAGAGGATTCTTTTGTTGAACTGACACAATTTGTAATTGTGCAGGAAGTTCGAGATGTATAACCTTGAAGATTTTGATGTTCAAATTGTGTTCGATTCGATTATTTTTTTAATAGTTCTGAACGAACGTCAAGATTTGACGACTCCTTTTGTTTGTATATGTAAAAATATGATTTGGTTACTATGGAAATGGAAATAGTTCTCAATTCCTGATTGGTGAAACTACTCTATGTATATCCAAGTATATTCAAAATTATTCAAGGTAGCTTAGCTCAATTTAACGTCCAGATCGGTTCGAAAGCATACGAGAAAAATAATCAGATATACCTGATTATAATAGTAATTCCTATTCATATGGGAAATTACAATGTATATATCGTGATTGGGTTTCAGATGAAATGTTATATATCTGTGCACTATGCATATATTTCATGCCAATATTCGCTTAGCAGTTCTGAATGTAATCAACTGGAGCCTATTTAATTGTGTCTTTCCATCTAAGTGGCTTTCAGAATAATTTATATTACGAGTCTGGAGTTGAGAGCATTCCTAATTACGTAAAAGACAACAATTAGAAGGAACAAGGTATTAGAACCAAAGCAGCCGAGTGTAACATAAATTAATGAGAATAATGTCTCAACATTTCGGAATGAAATGACATACAAACGGAAGACGAATGGATGATTTTTGAAGGATTCAAACACACTGAGAGAAACTGGATATTGAAAATATCTACCAGCGCTGATTGTAATAACCATTATAAAGAAAACTCCTATTCCTGATCATTTTATCATTACAACAGTATTCTCTCCATTCTGTAATTATTATAAAAATCGCTTTTTCAAACCATTTGTCATACCCTTGAATGGATATTTGCTACCATCATAACGCAGGTGTGTTATGACATTATGAGAATTTTATAAATTCTAGTCTATTCAGATTTTTTATTGACATAGCTCGTTTTGTGGATTATGCTTATTGGTGAATTCAGATAATGTGTGGTGTCCCAATAATGCAATTATCATAGCTGTTTGGGTTTCTAGCATTGTACGTTGACGAATAACTATAGCAATTCACATGTATGGCGGTTATCAGACAATCATTCGACAATCGTAATTCGGCTCATTTCGCTCCAGTTTTTCATTAGTTTTGGGGCTGACAAAGCTATACATTTTCTTTCAACTTCCAGCCAGAATATCTTCTGAGTGAGACAGCAAGGATAAAAAGATTGCCAGAGACTCAACTACGTCAATTAGCTCAGGAACCATATGAATATTCTGAGAGCCCGAGGTCCAATGAGCCTGAATGGGATCAGCTTCTCAAATTCGCTAAAAGGAAGGTGAGATATCGAAATATATGATAAAAATTGTTAGAAATACATTAGTATATTTTCTTTATGAGTCTTGACTGACTGGACTGTTATATAAATCTGGTATTTTATTGGACAGGACTGTTGTTGATTTATGCGACGAGGAATATTGTGTTGACTTTTCACAGACAAATGAAGACGAATTTTTCCGACTGTGAATGTATTCATCTCGTATTTTCCTCAGACTTTATTTAGCTAGATGCACCACTCTCTTAGAATATCAAGTTTCTGTAAAACAGGGTTAAACCTACCCTTTTAAGATAACGACTACGCTGTTTATGCTGCAAATTGTCGGCGATGTTCATTTGTTTTTTGTTGAATAATTAAGAGTGCAGTTTAGTGTGTACCAGTTTCATTGATTTTTTATATGAGACCAATTAAACTTGATTGCTTCCATCCTCAATGAATTCAGGAAACACGATTATTATTTCTCATGATCTCATGATTTTTAATGTTCTCCACACACTAAAGAAAATCCTCACTAACATTCACTGGGTATTGGAAAAATAAAAGTTGTGCAAATTGATCAATGCGAGTCGCAGTTCATTCAATATCGTGTTATCGACATATTGATATCAATATGCAAATTATTAAATCAACGGAAATACCTGGAGTTGTTCCGAATAATAATCATTTTGACTATGAGGTAAGCAAATCACCCTCATCCCAAATCCAAAGCTTCATTCATTCATTGCCTCATATATTCCATTAAGATCTCACAGAATATAAGTATATAAGATCACTTCATACCCAGAAGACGTTTCAGTGACGTTTCCTCACGTCATGAGTCAACCCTATATGACGTGGATAAAAACAGCCCAACGACGTCATACTATACTCACGTTTTTAGTAACTCACCTCTCATTTAGCCTCTTCCCAGTCCTCAAACTGTTGTCAAAAGTAACAAACATTGTATGAAAACAGAAATGTTGGTTTATGGGTCTCTACGTAGTTGAAATCCTATATTTATGCATTCTTATTGATAAATTCTATGCATAATGGGTTCGTCATAGAAACGTCACTGCAACGTCATGAAAATAACATTCCAAACTCACCTATGAATGACGTATGATCGAAGTCATGTTCAGGTCGTGACTATCACTTCATGAAAACAACGTCGAAGTAACATTAACCAAGTTTTACCCAATTTCCTAGATATGGAGGGATTGATAGCGTAGTATCAGTCAATCGTACATATAAAAACAAGATGTTTTGATTTCAGTTGGAGAAATTCATGAAATCTACGACGTTTGAGCTGGAATTTAATGATGAGGTGACAGAGAGAGGAAGATATTCACCCCGCTTCATTGACGAAATTGTGGGCGAAATTGACATTATTGAAGACAAGAAGGATTCGCTATTCAGTAAGTAGGAATGATCTTATGAATAATTCACTAGCCTCAGAAACCAGTCTGAGTTGCATCTAGGGCAACTAAAACATACTTGGAATATCAGAGTGTAAATGACAATCTATTTACGTCTGTCTGTACGTTAATCGATGAGGTGGTGCATTCATTTTACTTGAATATTTGGGAAATCTCTCCTCATTTCTATAAAATGAAAATATCAGTATTATTTAAATATACAGTGTGACCCATTTAAAATGAAACTACCCCAATGTCCGGAAAATGATATTAGGAGTCAAAATAGGTAAAAAATCACTTCAGATTTGGAATCAGGACGCCCAATTTACTAACAATTCAAATTATTCCTGGGAAATTTTCAGTTCGGAAAAATGAAATTTTGTCGCATTTTTCATGGAAGCACCGCCGTACCTCACGTAATTCACTTTATCTTTGGACTTTCTCTTCCTCCGGCAAATTTCAGAACCCTACCTCAATAATTACGTGAGATACGGGGGTGCTTCCATGAGAAGTGAGACACAATTTAATTTTACTGTACTGAAAATCTTCTAGGAAAACTTTGAATAGTTAGTAACTTGGGCGTCCTGATTCCGAATCCGACGTGATTTTCAACCTATTTCGACTCCTAATATCATTTTCCGGAAATTGGGGTGGTTTCATGGCTGTTGGCGAGCAGTGTATATCACTGAAGATTACCCCACTTGATCATAGAGTGCATTTTTGGTATATCTCCCGCTCCAGCAAATTTCAGGATCCTTACCCAACGATTACGTAAGATACAGGGGTGGTTCCATTTTAAATAGGTCACACTGTATATTATGTAGTAGGACAAATCAGATGATTTGCCCCAAAATGTCACTGCGTTCAACTGATTTTTTTATCAGAGAGCCTAAGAAAATCCGATTGCTTCTCAGTGACACTTTGTTTCGACGTTTGTCATCAGTTCAGTTCAGTTCAGTTCATCATCAGTGATGATGTTAGTTAACAAATGAGATACAGGATGTCTCCATCAATTGATCTTGAATCTACCATTATCATGTTTAGTTTTCAGTGGTGAATACCATACATCTTCTATCCAAATCAACTGAACAGGAAGCCATGCTATTGTCTCCGTTCCGAAGAATGCAAGCGAATTCTTTGATTTCCCTCTTTCGATTGTTATCTTCCTTTCCTATGATTTTATAATAATTCCACTCTGCCATTTACGTTGTCCATTTTGAGTAAGGATATGTTCAGTTAGCTGTGATTTATGGATATATATCTTTTTTTGATATTGTACTCGTTACTTGTATTCTTTCATCCTTACTGGGAGAGGTCTCTTCGTTTCACCTGTATAATACTTTCCACAAGCAAAGGTATACTATGATTGAAATTTTTTGATGCTTGTTCTTCATGTTTCGGTTTCGTTCAAGTAAGAATGGATCTCATTGTTTTCTCATGGGGAATTTCGAACAAAACATCATCATACAATACGAAAAACAATCAAAAGCGTGGTGGAGATATGTAGATGATGGACCGACATTGAATATTGAATGAAAAAGAATAATGGAATATAAGCAAAAAATTGCAACAATGGACAGCTATCTCCCAATATGTCATACTATGGAAGTGCGGAAAATACAATGACATTCTTGGGAATCCATCTTGACAGCAAGTTGACTTGGACTCACAATATTGAATATTTATGTTTATCAGACAACTGAAGAGTACAATATATCGATGGATTCATTGGGGCTCAGCAGCCGACACTGGAAATCATAAACATCCTTGTAAAGAATTGTTCATTGAGCATAATATCCTTGCTTCACTAAGTCTTTATATTTATATGCTCCTTATGCATACAAAAAATTCAGTTTATTCTTTTGCACAGAGATCAAACATACATAAACACAACACTAGAAACAAAAATCAAATTTCATCTCGATTTAGCCGTCTCACAGTAGGGCAGCAAACCTGTGATTACATGTTACCAACAAACTCCCAGAAAACATGAAAAATATATAAGAAAACGAACCATCACATTTGATATAGAGAAAATCTTCCTGAAAAAAACCTACTATTCCATAAAGGACTACCTGAATGACCAACTCCATAGTGGTGAAAATTAGACAGAGATATAAATGATTTCAAATGATTCCAAATTTCAATTTTCAATTTTATTCTGATCATTGATCACCAGGAATCATGAAAAGCATCATTGTACTGTATACTTCTGGCATTATGTCACCCTGTAGGTTATCAAGTGCAAAGGACAAAATAACAAATACCGCCGTTGAACTCAATGAAATGAGCTATCAGAATCATAAAATAAATTGAATATTAGTTGATATAATCCAGAGTTATAACGGTTCGAAAACGATAGAGCTTTCTGCTTGTCTCACTTCAATTGTGGGGCAGTATAGATCATTGATAACCAACATGTAACAGTTATAATATAAAAGCTGATAATAACACGTTTTTCTGTGTGAATGCATGAACGTGACTTCATGTACCAATGCCTACTTATTATTCTATCCTCAGATTAAGGGTGTCTGATGCGGGTTATTTGCCCCTTTGAATCCCAACTAGTAATGCATGCATAAATACAGAGCTTTGCGAATTCCACTAGCCAGTCCAAATATCTTATAATGAAGGTTTGGCATGTTTCTTGAGGGTCACAAAGGGCACGACACAATAGAGAACATTCCAGAAACTTATATACTCAGTATAATTGCTCGCAGTAATTTTATAGAAAACTCTTTGGATATACCCAGCGAGCACAAAAACATCTCAGAGATGTTAAAAGTACGAGATATCGAGACATTGAACCTCCACTGCGATGTTCTGTTCACACATGAATATAACTATTATAGAACACCCAATGTCCGCCGCAGGCGGCAATTATCGAGATGTCCTTGATATGTCACAAAACTACCTTCTCCCTAGTTCTTTTTAAAGCCTTCTCATGGACACAACAGAACATTTTCAACGCGTCTTGCGCACATTGAATCACTGTAAAAAAAACATTTTCGAGATACTTTTCTGAAGACTTTTGTCAAAATGAACTTTTGCATTAGGATTCCATTTCCCTTGAATAAAAAAATGCATTAAAAATAGATTGAACATAAAAATATTTTCTTGATATGAAATTACCTTCTTAATCGGTTTCTGAGTAGTGCTTACTACACACAGACATATAATTGGAAATAGGTTTCCCAATTTTCGGAATGTTCTCCACAATGCATAATTTTGCAACTGCGGAGAAGCTGTGTATTGATGAATTCGTACTTTTATATATTGATTACACTGAGGCACCGAACAACACATCTTGCATCTGATGGTCATTATCAAAAACTAAATAAGTCATCTAACACAATAAACTTCACCAAATTCCTTTCTGTTCGTTAGCAGCGTGATGTAAGCGTGACACGCTGCAAACGCGAATGCCAATTGCAAACAAGAAGAACAAAATCGAAAACAAATCAGAATTCATCGTATTGTGACGTAAGCATGATACGTTATGTGGTGGGGCAAACAAAGAAAGGGCACAAAAGAACAAAAACAATACTTTCAATATCCTTCTAAGACCTCTTTGGGTAGTGCATATTACGCCTAAAAAAAACATCCTCATGCCTACATTTCTAAAACATCCCAAAACATCTCAGGGATACCTCTCAGTAGGCAAACAAAGAAATGCCACAGAAGAACAAAAACAATACTTTAATATCCTTCAAAGACCTCTGCTTTGGTCAGTGCATATTACGTCTCAAAATAACATCTTCATGCCAACATTTTCAAAACATCCCAAAACATCTCAGGGATGTTTGTGCTCGCTGGGTATCATGTTTATTCATCTTTACTCGTTCACTTCTCTTGATAACTTGCAGCAACATATTCATTTCGAGGATCCCCATGGAATTCGCTTTGGCACGAACAATATATCGAAATATACAGGGTGTTTCAAAAAAAACCCGACCCCGTTGCTAGGGTAAGTGGAACATTGCGAAATAAGTTGGGTTTTCTCAGTAAAAAAAATGTCGTAACGTCATCCGTTTTCAAGATACAAGGTGTTGAAAAAATATTTTTTTTACACATGTTTCACGATTATGTTGAAACTACTGGCAACATTGTAATAAAATTTTGTATGGATGTGTTTCAAAAGCTGATACATCGCATGAGTTCGTTTTCATATCTGACACTCATAGAGGACGCTAGTTACACGGTTCGTACCAAGTATTTCAAACATAACTTTTCTTAGGTTAGATTTTTCACTCCAAATTTAATGTGAACTCGAACATCATTCAATTTTACACTAAAAAGGTACTCTTGGCAAAACTTCATACTATGTACCGTTTTCGGGATATTTCGATTTGAAAATGCTTAAGTATAACACTGATGCTAGTTGAAAGTAAGTATTATAAAAGACTGTTACCTTTAAACCACGTCAAGGGCTGCAAACAAAAATTGAACATTACTTCGATGATCTCATAGCTGATCCCCAACTGTTGAGAAGATTGATGCATTCTTTAGAAAAAAGGATCGAATTGTGTATTCGTGAAAACTTAGGACATTTTGGACACTTACTCTAACTAGATGATGTTTCAAGTCAAATTTAATTAATTTTTTTCTGATGTGATTTTGTTTATTCGATAACTTCAGCAGTAGAATGATGTTGATGTTTTTTGTCCCTAATGAATAGATAATTGTTATTTATAAGTCTTATTCTAATACCAGAATCAGAGTTATTGCTTCAGCATTTTCAAATCGAAATATTTCGAAAACGGTACACAGTATCGAGTTTTACCAAGAGCACAATTCTGGAGTAAAATTGAATGGTGTTCAAGTTCACATTAAATTTGGACTAAAAAATCTAACCTCAAAAAAATTATGTTCAAAAGTACTCGGTACGAACCGCGTAACTAGCGCCCTCTATGAGTGTCAGATATAACAACAAATTCATGCGGTGTGTCAGCTTCGCCAGTAGTTTCGACATAATCGTGAAAAATGTGTGAAAAAAATATTTTTCCAATACCTTGTATCTTCAAAACGGATGCCGTTACATTTTTTCACTGAGCGAAGTCAACTCATTTTGCAATGTTCTACCTACCCTAGCAAGGGGGTCAGGTTTTTTTGAAACACCCTGTACATTGAGGCATTGAATGAACTGAATATTAACTCAGAACTGCAGAAGCTTCAAGTACCTAAATGAGGTATGGAATGAATCTAAAACATCTCAATTTCATTACAGAAAGGAAGCAGTTGAAGAAACTCTTCATCCCATTGTTGCTAGTGCTCAAACTGTTCAAGTTGAAGCTTCTTCTCTTCCTGCCACTCATATTAGGTCTTGCTTCCTTCCAAAAGCTGCTAGGGTTCCTAGCCCTGATCATTCCAGGGGCCATAGCATTCTTCAATTTCTGCAAACCTGTCTTGAAGCAAAACGGAGGTAAGTGAATCAACAGAATTCTTCCCAGACAGCACAATGTTTGTACGTTCTTAGATTTTTAGAATGTTTATTTTTTGTTCACGATATGTGAAAATCTACGCTGCTTGAAATTTGTCCCACCATACAACATGACCAAGACATTTTTCAAGGATAATGATGAGGAAAATGAGGTCGAATTCAATTTTAACAACATTATACTGTCGGATATGAATATCGAGACACCAGTACTTATATATGGATACATGGGACCCAGAAGATTTGATACCCTTATCGCGGAGTTGAGACCAGTGATAGAGAAAAAATGGTGTGGAATGGATGAGATCGTTCAGCCAAAAGATTTCAATAGAACCTCTGGAGTTGCTCAAGATGGATAATCTCTTTCGTCAGTTCATCACGGAAAAATTATTGAATCACATAGTTTTCCAGATCATTCTATATACTATGAGCAGAATTATCAGACGACTGGAAAGACATGTAAAGTAACAGATATTCATGAAATATTTTCCTTGGATGCCGCTGTAGTCAACTCATTTATTCTTCACAAAATACTCTATATCTTCCAAAGTTATCAATGGAAGATTTGATCATTTATTCGTCAATAAATATCAGTATCTTCATCGAGAACATCAACCGAATGGACGATTCAAATAGAGAAAAACACTCAGTCAAAGCCCGGTAATGAGAGTCACACAGGGTTCTCATCAACCTATCGGAACAAGTCGAAGGAGATAATCCCCCTTGCAATTCAGGAGAGTTTGAAGTTGGAACAAACTGTGTGTTTCACTCGGCCTTGGAAAGAACAAAACATGTTTGCACACGTATCACAGTGATTTGAAATAAGTCAATTCTCATGAATTCTTTCACCTCATGGAATGGTGGGTTAGATTTTGAGCCAACGTTTTTTTTTTGTAAAAATTGGGAAATCCTGAAATTATTATATATTCGTTCGTATCTTTTGAGACATTTGGAGTCAGTTAGTTAATGAATCCCTTGAAAATCTGAAGAAAAATAAAGCTGTACATCTAGGGAGTGTTATATTTCGAAATTTTTATACCTGAAAGAGTTAAAGCAGGATTGACTGCATCTCCTTGTTATTGAACTTGTGGAGACGACTTCGAGTTTTCTTTCTTTATCAATGAATTTTGTTACATTCTCAGGATCCTTCTTTGGTGGTGCAGGACCCCAATACTCCCCAGCAGGAGTGGCTTACCAACATCACTACTCCCAACCTAGCTACGCTCATGAATACAGCGATTACCCCCACCACCATGGATCAGGAGTGCATTTCAGGAATGATGAGAATAGTGCTCAGAACTTGGCCTACAACGGATGGAACGAGTACAGGAATAAGGATACAGGGATAGAAGCCGAGACCAGCTCGAAGAAGTCCATATTACCGGATTCGTGAATGTCATATTGGTGAACCATGAAGATGGTTATTAGGTTCATAAGGGGACAGTAATAATTCTGTCAAAAATTCACGAGATCCGATTGCTTGGTGATACCACAAATCTGCTCTGAGAAATCACATGAAGTTCAAGTTTCCTGACAGAATGTTCGATAGTGTAGGCATGAATTGAATTCATAGAGACGATCTATATAAATTGAAAAACTCCACAAACGATGAAATTTTTACCAAATTCTTAGTCACACGACATGTTTCGCTAACACAGTAGCTTCATCAGGTGAAATATTGGTACGATAAAATGAACTCACCTATGTGTAATGGTTCGATAAACCTTCTTTTTCGGTGAATAGGCACAATATCTATATTAAAATACGGTGTAACGGATTAACTTGGAAGGGTTGATGGAAAATACATACCTAGTGAGAAAACAAATTCAACAGTGGTGAAATATTGAGGTCTAATTGATCTTTGTGTAAAATGTTATAATTTTTGAGTTTGTTGATTTCTGATGATTCATAATTATCGAGTTTCATTCCTTCATTCCCTATGTGTAGAATTTAGGAATTGTCATCGAAACTATGGTTTTCTGCTAATATATTTTTCAAATTCATTGTTTGAAAAAGAAAACAAATTCAACATACGCCAACCATATATTAGAAGAAAACCATATAAATGAATTCGAAGAATTGTTCGAAGAAGAGAACGAATTCAACATAAACCAACCATATATTGGAAGTAAACTATAGTTTTACATAGATGAGAATTGCGAGATTCTACACGTAGAAAATAAAGGAATTGATCTCAATCATTTCGAATCATTAGAAATCAGCAAACTCAAAAATTCTGACATTTCACTTAACGATCAATTAGACCTCGATAGTTCACCACTGTTGAATTTGTGTTCTTAGAAGGTGATAATATGTTTCTGCTATCAACCCTTTCAAGTTAATAAGTTACACCGTATTTTAATGTAGATATTGTGCAAATTTTCCGAAAATGAAGGTTTATTGAACCTCTTCACAGGTAATTCTGATCCTTTATGTTGGGAAAGCAGGATATATATAAGTTTAGGCAAGCCAAGGTGCCAGTATTTCACCTGATGAAGGTACTAAGCTAGCGAAACATGTCGTCTGACTAATGTCTGTTGACAGGTTGTAAACTGTCACTTTTCATGAACAACTTCTTTTCCACTGAAAAAAGAGAGTATTTATTTCTCGAAAAATAAGCCCGTTTTTGAGAAAGAACTGCAAGTCCTTTTATCTTCCATTCCACTTGGCGGTTACATGAATTACTAAATATCCAGTGACTTCGCAATTTTTCAAAATTAAATCACAGAATCAGACTGACAGATATTGGATCACTTCAAGAGAATGACGAAGATGACTGCAAAATGATGCCTGCTGAAACTTCAAGTCGATAATTTTTTTTCCAATATAATTCAATATCTGCTCAATTCGTCCTTTTTCCTGTCACAGAAAAAAATAGCGTATTATACACGGAAAAATATTAGATTTAAGCTCACGGTTTTTTTCAACACAACTTCGAGCTGAAATATACAACTTTTTTTCCTTGTGTGATAAATAACTATTATTCTCGTTTGACAGCTCAACTATCCAAATAGAACGAAGAAGCTCTTTCTTTGAGCTAATAGACAAAAAAAATCACCATGTATATATTATATATTATTTAATTAAGGTCTTTACAGTAAGCACAATAGGATATACCTCGAGTAGGCAAGTTCAATGAGTAATTTTTATGTATAGGTATATAATAAGCATTTCGAGCAAAATGTGATAATAGATAGTCATTTAGTTTCTTGAAATGAAAAATATATAGATATATACCTCTTTGGGGTGTGAATGTCCACTAACAGTGTTGAATTCATTCGACAAATGAGTTTGTCATCGAAGAAATAGGTAAAACCTACACAGTGTTCATTCTCAACATTATGTATTTGAAAATTCAATTGCTCCATACGTTTTTTTCATTCATCGAATTTCTTCAGTCGCATTATTTTGTATATACACTATCTTGAATTAATTTATTTATTGAACATTTTTATATACTAGTTAATAAACATTTCAATATCATTGTTAACATTATTTCCGTCTCCTGAATTGAAATAGAAAAAATATCGAATTTTTACTTATCTTTGGACTTTTCGGGATCGAATCTGCTCCTGTTTCCAACATAAAAAAAAGGTTTTCTTGTATGGCAAATTCGTATTTCTCTTGACACTTCTCAGTTATCAGCTACAATTGGCGATGTGTCAAGAAAAATACGAATTTGCCATACAAAAATGCATTTTTCATGTTGAAAACTAGTGCAGATTCGTCCCCGAAACTTCCAAAGATAAGTCAAAAGTTGATATTTTCTTTATATACCTTTATTCCTCTTCTCCGAGAGTTTTTCAATACAAATTGTCACTGACAAGCTAGTGAGTTTTTTTCTAGGCTCTCTGATAGGAAAATTCGCTAGATGCATCGACAATTTGGGGCAAATCATCTGATTTGTCCTCACTACACGTATATTGAAATAATATTGATATTTTATTTCATAGAGACGAGGAGAAAGAATCCCTAATAATCTGGAATACTGAAGAAAATCCTCACTAAACGAACATCATATGATATTGTCAGTGAACATTTTTCGATCTCTCAATTTAAGTATCTGCTGTTTCGGTGGATATAGAAAATCTGGGTTAACAAGAAGAACACAGATTGCTTTGGCCGTATACCATCTCAAATATTATTCAAGATGATTGACCTACTTCAGTATGTTCGAGTTATCCATATCATCGAAAATTTTAATGAAATGAGATGCGTGGATACCTATATCATGTTTACTAGTCTCGTTTATTTAGCTGTTCTTTGAACTCAAGAACACTTAGGTACTCTGAGAATATGAAATCAAGAAGAAAATAATCAATAATAACAGTTTTTGATGCGGACATAACATAAACTAGATCTATTGATTTACCTACTCATCCTCCTGAAGGCGATTTCAATTTTGTGTCTGACGTCATGTCAGAATAGTATATTATACACCTAGGTTGAGAAGTGAGCAAAGGATCACCCGAGATAATATACATAATATTTTTTCCTACTACGAACACTGGAGAATTAACATCTTCCATCAATTCAGACTATCATTTCCATTCAAGAAGCAATGCCATTTACCGTGTAAACCTATCCAGCATTGGTCAGCATATATTTTTTTATCGCTTGGAGCGCACGAAAGGAAATCCCTTTAATGTTCGAAGAGCATCGTGCGTTCCTAGGGAGGATAGGGACAGGAGGTGGTGGTCGGATTAGAATAACCCCACGGTAAGTCCTGCCTGTCGTAGAAGGCGACTAAAAGGACGCCAATAGGTGGAAGATGGTTAACGCCATCGCCCGGTGCGATACCACCACATCAACCATAGGCACTGTGAAATGGGTATACTTACCCGTGTTTCAGTAGCTGGTTGATGTTCCGGCCAACCCAACCCAACCCAATTTCCTTTTCCTTCCACGCCAACCTCCCTTCTCTATACAGAATAAGCGATGATGAGTTCTCCTCAAGTAAAATTATCCGGAAGTAAAATACCTCTCCAT